GCAGCAGCAGCAGTGCTATTAGCAGTGGCGCCTTCGTTTGCCTCAAATTCTGGCTGCGTGTGTTGGTGTTTCTTGCCTTTGAAGTAGCAGCAGTAGCATCGGCAGCAGCAATAGCAGAGGCAGCAGCAGTAGCAGCAGTTGCCGTGCAAGCATCAACCAACTTGGTGTGTTGATGCTAGGTTTGGTGGTGGCATTCGGCGCGGCGGTGGTGGTTGTGTTGGTTCCTTCTACCTGTTGTGCAAATGGTGCAGATGCACTATTGCTGATGTTGGACGCTCAATGCTACTCAGGGCTAGCTGGCTGGCAGGTGTTTGGATGCGCGTGTGCGTGTGTGCGCGCGTGTGTGTGGAGCAGTCGTTGAAAATATTGGCAGATTTCATGGGGGTTCACGATGCCATCAAGCATTGCCTATGTGACTGGTTAGGGGTTGTTGGTGAAGGCCAAGCTCAAAGTGCCAGATTAGGCGAACCAAGGAGTGGGACGACATGTCATGGCAGAGATGTGTGTACTTATTGGTTTCATACGGATCTTCGTAGCATCACACAATGCCCGAATTGGTGGCGAGTGTTTGGCATTATGTGCACATGTAAATGCCTATAGATGGGAATAGCATGGCAAATAGATTGAGAACTAGAGGGACGGGTGATTGGGTGGGTGGTTGGGTGGGTGAGTGGGTAAGTGGACAGGCCCTGGCAGATGTGTCAGACATCCAGTGTAGGCATGCAGCGTGGTGCACACGCATGGCTATCATGGTGGTGTATCATGGAGGGCGTGTGTGCAGTCAATGTGGGACAGGCTGTAGTGGTATAGGAGTGCCTTTGGCATCAGCAAAGGTGAACCAGAAGGTAGGCCTATAGGCAGGAATTAGTGAATGTGACAAGAACGGCGGCCTCGAGGGAGGAGAGTTGGGGCGCAGACCAGATGTGCAACAGGGGTAGATGAAGTGACTTGGACTTGTGGCTAGTGCACGTGTGCATTGGAGCCTGGGTGGTGCACAGATTGTAAGTCGGTGGAGACGCAGGGAATGAGGGGTGGATAGGAAGTGGTGCCGATGATGGTGGTGAAGAGAGTGAGAGGTGGCGTGCAGTAGTAGTAGGACAGGAGCAGAAGACGAAGAGAGCAGAGCGGGAGGTGGAGGACGAGGACAAGGAGGAGGAGGAGGAGGTGTGAGACAGGTGACACATGCGGCACTTGACTGCCACCTGATTTGAGCACGAATCACGCCTCGAAGTAATCGAGGCATTCCAAAAATGCGTCTATAGACTCATTGTGTTGCACCTCCACACGGAAGTCTTTAGTAAAAGGCGAAAGATTTATCCGCAAATGAGGAGATGCCAGAGCTTGACGTGCCTCGCTCCCTCCTCACGCCTACCGCGCACATCTCCATTGCTGCTTTCTGCTCCCCTCTGCATGCCATCCACCACCTGCCCGCCTTCTCCTCCCTTTCGCTGCATTCACCTTTAAGGCACGTTTGCCTCACCCATGTCACTCCGCATCCTCGCCACTTCTCCACTTGTCTTTCTACTTGCCATTTCACTTCCCGCCTACTTCAGTAGTATGCGCGTGTTTGTCTCTCAGTTCACGCATGCCAACACCACGGCCCTGTGGTTCACTAGCATGCAGTGCCAATTCACGTATGCACTTGCACACTCATTCTCGTACATACCTGCCTGTGGCCATGCAATGTGCGCTCACAAGCCCATAACTCCCAACCGTCCTAACCCTTCTC